TTTCTTACAAATAATTTGGTATTATCCTTAAGAACTTTTTCTTTTTTTTTAAATACACATACAATAGGCCAAACCCGCATATATAAATATCCATTCTTTATACAGGTCATGCGCTTRCATACAAACACACACACATACACACATACACAAGTGTACGTGGCATTTGCAGCAAGTGCGCGCACCAGTTACGCCCGTAGGGGTTGGCAACATTGACCAGTTGGGGGCTTTTTCAGTAATGACATTTGGGTGAGGGCGTCACACAGGGGAGGTGTTGGCCGTCTCGTCGCCGGCRATAAGCTCGAAGGGGCCAGTTTAGTATCGGTGCCGTACGCGGCAACACCGGCACAAAAATGGCGTAATTCAATCACAATTTACTATTGTTGTTATATTATTAATACAAAGTTAGACTAAAACAATTCGTTAAGTAGTATACGAACCGCGGTCCGCGGCGTGGGTGGACATGGTCACCGAAACCGGACAAGTAAGAGTTTTGATAGTGTATTGTCGTGTCAAAAGAATGTTGGCGTAATAATAATATTTTTTTTTTCTTATTAATTCGCACACATAAATGTACGAAACAGCGCTTCGCATTTCTGGCTTTGTAGCCAAATCGTTCAAAATCKGTAAACGATAGGACCGATTGTAAAAAAATAGCATTGATCTATTATGGTGTCRTCCAACTAATAGGATTTTTTTGATATTATGATTTCTTAAATTATAATTATAATAAACTCTTTAATCTACAACAAGTGTTACACTGACATCCTCTTGCTCTTAACATATTTCATATTTTTTTTTATTATCTGATCGTGCGACTAATGTTTAATTAGACGTCTCGTAATGAAGCCTTAAAGATTTCGACATAACGTTAATACGCATTAATAAAAGCCATCAGTTATCACATCCTATATATACAAAACTTAACATTAAATTGGAACAACGTGCATTTAACGACTGCTTTAAATCGTTTGGTATTTCATCTCGTGTAAATAAACCGTATATTATATTTTYATTTTCGTTATTAAAYKAATTAATATATATTTTTTATCATAATTATAAGGCTATTGTAATTTGTAATTAGTAGTGAATACCTACTAACTAAAATTTATTATTTTGTAGATAAACTTTGTTTTCTTAAGTTTATTAATCTTACAGCGGATAAAATATATCAACATTTAATT